ATAATATATATATATAAATATCAAATTACTAAAGTGACTATATTTTTTTCTTAAACCTTACTAAAGTTAATAAGGGAATAAAAAATTGAAGCACAAAAAGTAGACCATTATTTAGTCTTAGATTTGGCCACCAGATGCGGAACCAATTACTTTTGTTCACTTATTATTGATATTCTTCTTATCTAAATTAGTAAGGGAAAACAAAAATTCAAAATTACAATAATATTTCAATTATTTTGTTTTTTTTTTAAGGCATGGTTCCTAATTTAAATAAGTAAGGAAGACAGTTTTAACAAGATAAACAAGCTAATCATTTCGAAAATTGAACAGCATAGTTCAAATTAGTAAGTGAAACATGAAAAACTATAGGCTACAGACACCATATAGTATATTACTTAAAAAGTACTAGGGTCGCCTGGTGTGACAGGGTGATGTTGCGCTAGGCTCTGTTTGTTTTCGTGCCGCCCGGTGTGACAGGGTGATGTTGTCCTGGCTTTGGTTTCGCGTCGCCCATGAGACAGGCGTCACAGCTGTCCTTGTGGACAACTGTTGGGATAGCATACAGATGGAGCACTTACTCGTCAGAATGCTTGACGACCTGGATTGCTACCTTGAAGGGAAAGACCCTGACAAGGTGTGGTGGTTTGTTTTCTGTGATGCGCCAACAAGCACATTTCTATCGAAGAGAGCCTTTTTTGTCCGGGATCTGCATGGCCCTCATACAGAGATGTGTTGATGGGTGAGGATCGGGTTGGAGGAAGTCTTGCCGAATTGGACGATGAGGATGCCTACTCAAGCCCTTTCTCGAGATGATGGAGAACATGCGGTATCTGAACAGCCCACAGCTGCCAAATCCAAGCCCAGGCCGCCCAAGCGATCTCCATCTGCTGGGGCGCAAAAGCAGCCGGAGGCTGATGCCTGGCGCAGCGACTTCGGCCAATGACTTTGTGACTTCCCACACATCTTTAAGTCCTCGACAGAACTGCTGCAGACTTCCAAGCAAAGAAAGCACAGCCCATGGATTGTTCCGATGCGCTTCTGCACAAAGACGTGTTGGAATCCGTTTCATTGCGCACCCTTAATCAGGAGAGGTCCTGAGATTCTGATCAACCATGCGCAGGTGCCTAGATGTGAGAAAGCATGCATATTCTTTGTTTGTTTATTTGCGTCGTGTCCAATAAGATAGGTAGCCTTCGATTGTTAGCAAATGCAGCTATGCAGACTCATGTGAAAACAACGTGGCCACGTTCAACGATGCGGTGCTTGCACATGTTCTTCTGTTCTCGATGAGGGCCAGTGTTGCGTTTTGAGTCAAGAAAGTTTAACTTTGCACAGACGGTCACATGAGCAGCAGACAAAATGTTCTGTCCAGCTAGAGACCAGAGGACAGAGTCATCTCTACAGCAAACTTTCTTCAAGGTTCCATGACAGTCACAAAACATCAGATTGAGACTTGCATACCCATTTCGCGTTGCTAGGCTTTTCTATGGACTAATAGGAGGAACGTTCCACAAAAATCCTTCTATTAACAACCGTTTTTGCGGTGACCACATTGTTTTGGTTATAGACCACTCCCATAAGAAAGCTGCAGCCATGTGCGTTGGGTCTTGGTTTTTAGTAGTCTCATGAAACGATGGTTGATGTTGGACAACGACATGGCCGAATGTCGGTGCGTTGCCGAAACTTTGCTGTGCTGTGGCGGCAGCAGGATGTGTTAAAACAAGACTGGCGGAACATTGGCGGCGCATAGGGGTAAAAATTCACCACCACGGGGGTAGGGGGGAACCATGGCCATGATAATAACGTTCGATGTGGTTGCAATTGGCTTTCGCATTCATTCAAGTAAGAAGATGTTTGTATTTACAGAATATGGCTGCATGGCCAAGATTATAGCGTTCCATGTGGTTGCAAAGGGCAGTTACATTCATTCAAGTACGAAAATGTTTCTATTTACAGCATGTGGCTGAATACAGTGATGGCCAAGATAAAAACGTTCCATGTGGTTGCAAAGGGCTCAAGAATGTTTTTGTATTGACAGCATATGGTTGGAACATGTTGGAAACAATCCGTCGGTTGGTTTCTGCATCGTGCTTTCCTGATTGCTGTATTTACAGCGGAGTGCAGTACGCTGGTGCAGGAGTTTCAGAAGTGGTGGCACAAAAGATTGCCTCGAAGTGGCGCTTGAGCATCAGCATCTCTTCCTGTGGTGATTGTGCAATGCCCGCAACACGAAAACGAATCTGGCGTCTGGGTTGCTTGGGTGTCAAGAATCTGATTGCCATGTATAGTTTTCGAGCATCATGTCTGCTGGCGGCCTGATAGGCTTCTTGAATCACCCCTGCAACTCGGGCTTTCCGTTGTGCTTGGCAATGCTTTCTCAGTCTAGACCCCAATTGCTGGTGCTTGGTCAAATGAAACCATGCAGTGAAGGCATGTCGAATGTTGCATTGAGTCCCAAGCTGAGGGTTACGCGCAAGATGGAGATGCCTCCATTTCATAGCGACGAGATACCTCGTTGCGGACAGGCTCTGCAACTGCAAATGGCTTCACGTTTCACGGTGGGTGTACGAAAGTATGCATCACCCGTCTGAATGACACAGTTAGTGACCTGAGACGGTCGTGTACGATGCATTGTATGTTCTGCTTCTCGCACATGGCTTGCACGATAGAGGTGACTGACGACTTTCGCTGTGCTCCACTGAAAAGGTATAGGACCCATATTGTGGGTTTGCCACGCGTGCCCCTCGTCGTGCTTTCCGACTCCGGTGGGCTTGGGGCATCGCCCACCTTTGTGCCTTGTCAGGCCGACTTGCCCCCCCTCCGGGGCACCCCCTGCCGTGTCCTTGGGCTTCCCACTGCCATCGCATGCGTGAACGGGGTGTGAACCAAAGCATGCCTGACATACATGTAGCCGCCCACAGCTGAACCGACAGCGTTCCCTGGGATTGTTCCAACGCCAGCAAATCTGTCTGCCGTCAGGGGTCCGATCATGAAGTTGCTTGCCACCTTTCTTCCCCTTGCTCTTTCCTCCGCCCTTTCTGGACTTGCCTTTGCCCTTCTCCCAGTCACGGCCTCGATCGGTTGTCCAGCTGCGCTCTCCAGGCGGGCTCCTCGACCTCCAAGAATCTGACCTCGACCCTAAAAGCGACAACATCTTCATGAACATTTGTAAGTTTGATGGCGATGAACTTGCTGAGGATTCTGCCATGCTAGTTTGGCATGGTTCGATCAAAAACTTTTGTTTGTCTGTGTCCTTGTGACCACCAAGAGAGAGACACGCGCACAGTCCTATTTGTTTTGTGATGAAATGCTGCTACAACAACAACCACTACAACTACTACTACGACGACTCCTACTACTACCACTGCCACTGCCACTGCCACTACCACTACCACTACCACTACCACTACCACTACCACTACTACTACTACTACAACTACCACTACCACTACCACTACCACTACGACTACGACTACGACTACGACTACTACTACTACTACTATTACTACTACTCTTGCTACTACTACTACTACTACCACCACTCCCACTACCACTACTACTACCACTACCTTTTCCCAGATCATCAGTTTCTTCTTTTGGAAATGTTATTGTATTGCTTTGGTTTCACTCATGGTTTTGGTTACCGAATCAGCGCTTTTTTTGGTTACCGAATCATAGTTACCGAATCAGGCCGCTTGGTTACCAAATCAGACGTCAAGTGGTTGGAGGCCATCGCTAGTAGGTTGGAGGCCATCTCTCTTAGGTTGGAGGCTCTAGTTGGAGGGCCTCGCTCTTAGGTTGGAGGCCAATCCTATTGGGTTGGTCTAATTATGTTGGTTCCAGGAGGTCACCAGGACCTTGAGGAGCGAACCCGTGAGTCGAAGGCTGAAGTCCCTTTTGCCGCCCAAGCCACCCAAGCTCGGTTCTTAAGGAACCAAGAGTTCGAACCGCCAGCCGCAAGATCCTAGAATTCTGTTGTATGTATTTTGGGATATTTTGGGTAAATCGCAATAGAGGCATGGCCGCTTGAAAAATACCATGTCATAATATGACGTACAGTTAGATTGCATCTTCCTGCAATCTTTTGGTTTCTACCTCCTGCAACGAGATCCATCAATCAAGCTATTGGACAGGTCATGACAGGTCCTTCTGGATAGGACAGTTTCAGTTTCACGAAATACTCAGCTTGCGATGCGCCAATCAGTAGGGGTGCTGCGCTTCGTTACCCCTCGACCGTCTCGACCGTCTCGACCGTGCCATGCTTCGTGGAAAGCACTTGGCCGCGGATACCTTACGAGGTGGGAAAGCGAGTCGCTTTGGGACGAGGGTCGATTCGAGGCTTCCGAGGCATCGACAGGCATCCAAAGAGGCCCGAGGCCTTGCGCTGAATGAACGGGCTCCAAAATATATTCATCCTTCATGTTCCAAGATGTTCGAAGGGTCATTTTCACTGTGCCATGGGAATGTTGCCCTGGGTCACATGGCCCGGAACAAGCAACTGAGGCAGGGTGCTTGCTAACCTGCTCAGTATGTTTGTTGATTTGTTGGGCGAGAAGCATGGTGTGGCATCTTCAGTGATTTGGACAATTTGTCGAACAAAACAATGTGTTTGTTCATGTTTGTTCTCATCGTGGCCGGGCCGACTCAGTGAGAGACGGTTACCGGACATCCCTCACGTAGGGCACCTGTCACTGCGCGAGTCACTGCGCGACCAGTCGATGTCCAAGCTGCGGGAGATCTTGCTGGCACGAGCCAAGGATGGGCCCGATCGCTACTAGGTTGGAGGCCATCGCTACTAGGTTCATGACTAGGTTGGAGGCCATCGCTATTAGGTTGTTTAGCGCCGCTTTTTGGCGCTGTGTGGATTTGGTGCAGCGACGACAGTCTAATTTATGTATTAAGTATGGAGAAATTATGCAGCGCTAGTAGTAACAAGTGCATCGCTAGTAGTAACAAGTGCCTTACTAGTAGTAACAAGAAGCTATTAGAAACAATAAGCTTCTAGGAACAAGTGCATCGCTAAAGAGAAATGGCCGATCACAGGAGATTCTTGGAAATCCTTAATTTCAGGTGGTACTAAATGTTTGAAACATCAGGGTACAACATGGCACAACAGGGTGTTGGTGTAAATCACATTTCATTGTGTAAGGCGCCACTTTGGGCTAGACAATCCTCTATTTACCTGTTGTTCAAAGACTGATGGGGATGCAATAGATTCATGTGACCATATTCCATAGCACTCCAAACAGAACAGCCTAGAGAATGTTCAGCTTGAAAATAGATGGACCATGGTGGTGTCACGGCCCGCGGAAGAATGGGTGGCATGAGGTGGGGTGGAGGCAATGATGGTCGATGCGTGGCAAGTCTTTTTGTTTCTTGATTCGTGGCTGTTTTGTATTTTTTGTATCTTTTTGTTTGTATTGCCTCTACTGCATAGGGTACTAGTGCACGATATTGCACGATAGATAGTCAGTCCTTTTCGATGTTTTGTTCACCTGTACTTTCCACTGTTACCACTTCAGTTTCTTGCCACAGACATCGGAAGCAAGACAATCATTTGGACCCAAAACATTCTCCAGTCAGGAATCGGATGGATGGATTGGCCTCTTCCGCTGCCGTGTTGTTTTGAATTTACCAACAAAACAAGATCGGCTTGAAAAAGAGACGCCAAGAACAAGGACACTACTAAGGAGCAAAGGGCATCGCTACATACCGCTACTAGGAGCAAGAACGCTACTAGGGGCTGGCCTTACTATACTAGTAGCAATAAAGCTTATATATATACATATTACTCCCTGTTTTTTTTGTTGCAACTGCCTCCCATTGCGTCTCCAATGCTTTTCTAGTGGGGCAGGCCCGTAGTGTCTCACGTGTCTTTGACCCACGTCAAATCTTTTTGTCTCTATTCGATTGAAACCACCCAGTGATTGGGAGACTTCTGTCACTTGAAGTCAACAACTGTTGGTGACATTGAAACCTTTGCCCGTGTGCAGGAATCGGCCAAGATCCACCCTTTGGATCGACCAGACCATGAGGACTCCGAACTGGTCAGCAGTTGTTTGCGAATCACTGTGGCGGTGGAAAAGCCAATCAAAAGAATATATGTTCCCATTCATCCTCCCGTAGATGACCCTTCTAAAATCAAGTACGTTAAGTCTGCAAACCTTTACTGTTTTAGACTATAAGCATAGTCCAACATCAATAGTCAATAGCTTGGCGTACCCTTGTTAGACAAGAGGGTGTGGTAGGCGCAAGAGAAGGTTGAGGAAGGTGGTGCAGCTGATTTTTTGAGAAACAATGAGAAACATATATTGTTGCATTGCATTCTTGTTCTAAAAGAACTCAGATCCTTTGATTCTATAGAGGTTTTAGGCTTGAGGAGGTTGCACACTTGATTCTAGAATGAATTACTCACTCCATTTTTGAAATTAGATGTTCGCCATCCGTTGGGTTGCGCCATCAATACTTAAGGTACTGTTTTCTAGTAACCTCTGGCCTTTTCATTTTATAGAAGCCATATAAATATATTGCCTATATTCATTTTTTTTACATGTTTGTTTGATCTTGTGAGCTCGATTCTATACTACATGCCTTTTCCATGTGTTCTTGATTCTTTACTGGATTTTGTCTATTGGACCGCTAACGTACCCCTGGAATCTTCAGGGGGATTTTCATTCTGTTGCATTCCATATCCTGCCCATTCTATGTGTGTGGTGGTTCCCCCGAAGCGGATGTTGAATGAAACCTGCAAGAGAATCCATTTCCAACCAATTTATGTTCGCATTAAGAATTGCACCCTAGAAAACTATAGTTTGCCAAGGCGTAAATATAGCACAACATACTTTGGCACTGTAGTCAGCAAATACGGACTCCAGTCGAGTCGTGTCCGGAGTTCCTTTGGTTCAAACGGTTGAATCTTTTGACAACACACAACCAGGCATTTAGATGATGATCGCTGCTACAATTGATGCTTGCCGTGGATGATATCCGAATCCCACCGCTTTGCCGTGGAAACAACAACGTTAGAACTGGCATTTCATTATTTGTCCCCGCAATGATTCTCTGACGGCCAAGCAGGCTCACGTTGAACATTTGTGGGGGCTCCCAGTTCCGAGTTCCGCTGGCGCACGGGAATGAGTGAAAGAGCTTGAGGTTACTGTGGGACTCAAACTGATCTGCAGGAGATTGAACACTAATCTGCTGATAAAAGCACTTGGAAGTGGGGGCTGTGTTGTTTAGTGTTACCATTTACTTTGAAGAACCGTATTCTCATTGCTTGCACTGACACTGACACAAAAAGATGTACTCCAAAAATTAGGCGGTCGTGGAACAAGACCCTTCCAATTTCATCCAATTTCGCCACACTACGAGGGGCTCATCGCTACTAGGAACAAGAAGCTACTAATTAGGGGCTCCTGGCCATACTACTAGGAGCAAGAAGCTACTAGGGGCTTGAGCATGTCTTGCTGAGCATGATGTCTCACCTACGCAGCGGTCTGGAGGTACCTAGCTCGTTCCGTGCCGCTGTGCCGCGCCGCGGTTCCGCGCGCAGCCGGATATCGCCACCGTGCCAGGCCACCCCTTCGGCCGCCCATCGCTCGAAAGAAGGTGAGGTGTCGACGACGCGATTGGGGAAGGACCACACCGGGTTTCCGGGATGTTTGACTCTCAAACTGATCGTTCACATTGAACAGGGGTATGGCTGGTACCCTAAATGCATCCCCTTCGAGGATGTCCTGGGAGATTGGATGAGAAGTAGCTTCCCCAAAGAACCGCCAGAAACTTTGTGGTGGGTCGAAAGGAACATGGATGAACATCAGTTTGTCAGTTTGTGCTTCGATAAATATGAGATACCCCCCTCATGCAATCTTTGCGACTGGCCCAGTGACAGTTAATGTACAGCAAGGCTGTTGGCCCCACTCACCATCGAGCAAACTGGTGTTTGAGGCTCAAAGGACGTGCAGCGAAACGATTTGTTGGAAGCCATTCCAGGTCATATATAGAGGAATCCCATCTGAAAGTATCCAGTATGTATAGCCTAAGACTTGAGAATGACATTCTTGCGCAGGATTTCCGTTGATGATTGTAGGCCTCCGCTAAGTTTGGGGGGAAGCTCACTACTGTCACTACTTGTTGAAATCCTCTCCCAAGCATTGCCTTATTAACTTATGAACCCATACACTCCCCGTTTTAACGATTCTCGCAGAACCTACACCCCGTGTCCGGCAGAGAAACCGCCATTTTCATAGGTCGCGGACGCGCCACCAAAAGTCGCAGAGGCGGGTGAATCAGCTTCCAGTGCCATTGGGAAAAAAGACCTTTACGTCCACCACGCGTTTAGCATGAGGCCAACTAAGCAAGAGGCCACTCAGATGATCTGCATGGAGCTGCTACGGTGCAACGCCCTCCCGACTCGCCACAAGACTTCCTCGGCGAAGAGCAGACGATATTCACAAGACAGACCTTTTCGCAAAAGGCTTAAATATTGACAGACGAATGCTACACCCCATCCTTGGAATCTGTTTGATGCTGATTCTGAAGAAAAAGGACAGGATCCTCCAAGACAGCCAAACCAAGGGAGCCAAGTTGAATTGAAAGGCTCCAAGGCTCCCCGCATGCCGCGAAAAAAATCATGGATGGATTGCGTTGTTGGGCGCCACTACTGTATGGTTTCACAGCTGAACCTTGGGCAGCGTGCGAGTCAACCACACTCGATGTGATCACCTGGATTCAACAATTAAATTCTCTACTAAGTGGGATTATTGGTTTGTGACTCAACTGGGTCACTCCATGTTTCACATTGTTTCGCTCCATGTTGGTCTTATGACCCCAAATCTCCATGCTCACTGCAACTGCTTTGCGGAGTATAGTAGTTGGATCAAATTTCCTGATCACTAGATTGGAAGTGGATGGCATGGGCCCTTGGAAGACGTTCTGTTTCAAACAGGTGTTTTCCACTTCCATGTGATGTGTTTGTCAGAGTATGTCAGAGTGTGATTTTTCCATGTTTCACCTCCGCCAGGTGACCCAACTCCCTCGCCTGGGCCCACCCAGCGCGCGGGCGGGTCCCAGCGGCGGACCCACCCGGCGTGGGAAGGTGAGCGGCGACGCGGTGGGTGGAGCTTGAGCCAGAAGGGTACCCATGCACATCCGTGCACCTGATGGCACCAGGGTTAACCAGTTAACCCTTCGGCAACCCTTCGGTCGGTAAAACCCCAAGTTGCCAAGAATGTGAAAAACAATTACAACCAATCTCCAAATCAGGGGGTGAATCATGGCCCGAAAAGGGCGTGCCCACAGAGGCTGGCTTCAAAATGGTGGAATGTGCCAAGGATTGCAAAGGGTGGAGAACTTAGGTCGTTGCTCAGGCCTGCTTTGGGAGCCCATTCTGTTCAAGTGTGTGGTTCCCGCCCACTGAAAAGAGCTATCAGTTCTATCGCACAGTTTGCAACATCGGACCTCTCATGCTGGGACAGGTGCCGGCCTACCTGAGGAGACGTCAGGCGGGGTATCAAGAATCTCTTGGAGCACCCCATACAATATAGACAAAAAAAAATAAACGCGACGCTACCCTAGAGGCCCTAGAGGCTAGAACAAGAGGCATCACTCGAATTTCACAATCAGTTGACAGTTCTTATGAAGTGGGTGGGACCGAAATTAAATCGGTTGAAAGCAATACAACTATATGAAATCAAGGCGAGCTTGGGATACAAAGGAGTTCTTTTTGCAGAAGACACCAGTTGGGAATTCATTGCAGGCAATTGGTTTTGACATTAGTTAGTTTGGCAGGGTTGCTTGTCTTACAATATCAAGTGATGTTTAGGAATGTTTGGAATTGATTGGGAGTGTTGGAGGAACTCACGAATCGACTTCAATTGAGCAAGCTTTTTCCTGACATTCAAGCTCACTGATGGCTTCAGGCCTAGTCGCTGGTACTTCATTCGTGCTTCCCTCCGAGCATTTGGAGTTGCAATATTGCATAATATTCCCAAACTTGGAGAATGTCTCGTGTGAAGAGACACTTGTTGATCGAATCATAACTTTAAACAATGGAAGACTCAAAACAGGACTGGATTCTTGCGGCTTCTCCCCATTCAAAGCCTGAAGACAAATCGTCGGTTTGGCTAAATGGATCACTCACACACACTTCGGCCACATCCTTTGTGACAGCAGCAGGCAGAGTTGGCAGAAGAGAGGTTTGGGAGCCTTAGTGCGTCGGTCTTTGTTCCCTTTTCTATGGCAAAGCACATGATGTTAGGACCTAGGATGACATGGGTTGGGGTCAGCCAATGTGTGTGGAATCAATACTGTACCGATCTCAACATGATATGACAATGTTGTGAAACCGATGCCAACGTTAAGACAACGCGGAGGCATACATTGCAATCTACTCAAAAGTTACACACACACGTGATGCCATGATGGCAAAGTTTGTGGCTAACTGGACTGGTCCAGCAAGCAACCTGCTATTGTTGAAGATGTGTAAGGTGTTAGGTGTTGCTTTCTTGGATGTTCTTACTCCAGGTCGGTGGAGAGTACACGACAGTATATACGTGGTTTCAGACCACCCTTTTGCGCTGGTTGCAATCAGCAAATACCCTTTTTGGGGCGGTTTTGGGGCTCCACACAACGGTCCCATTCGTGATCCCTTCTCCATCAGGCGGCTCGCGGAGATGCCGCAGAAGCCGCAAGCACCTCCAGGCTACAGGCTTGGAACTGGGTGGATTGAATTACAGTAATTATAGGATGTTTGTACGGGTGTTTTTGTGTTCCACACGTTTCTGTGCCACACGTTTTCCATACTTTTGTGAGTCACAGCATACCCTTATCAAAACAATCATAGCGAACAGCGGCTTCGGCACTCTACGAAGACATGTTTGCTTGATCTTCAGACGGCATGAATTGGAAGGAAGAAAGAATTACATAATCTAAAATCCCCACAAAGGATTGTGCAGAAATTAAGAAATATTGATTTGTATGGTTTTGCCTTTAAATTGAAACTTGTTTTATTAATTACATGTTTGTCTCTTGCTATGTAAAAGTGGGTACAGATGTCGAGTCCTTGGAAACATACGGACTAGCAACCGGTGGTGTTATTAATATATATAAATATATCTTTTGGCTTGCAGTTTGCTTTGATTTGACCCTGCCATTGACAAAGATGAGTGTGACAGTTTTTTATATAGAAAGACGTCAATAAGAGATCTTTTCTAGGCCAAGCCTAGTCCGCGATGAGACGTTGTGTTCTCCATTCATCTTACGAAGGGCTACAAAAAGATTCATCTAGTGCCGACTTAGTGCAGCATTTGTTTGCTTTGATACTGGCATAGAATGGACTTGCCTGGCCAGTTCCTGGCGCAATGAGCTTAGCTCCTTGGGTGAGAAGTGTGGTGCTGGGCAGCAGCTCCCCAAGTATTCTGGAATGGGGCTTTTGACAATTTCAATCCAAGGACGTCCGATGATCAAAGAGAGGGCTGCACAATCCTTCGAACAGGAGAGACTATCATCAGGTCCCCCACTGGGTATTGAACCATTTCACATCTTTAATTCTTGAAATGGTCAGAACCAGCTTTGCTCAAATATCTCGATCAGCTGATCAGCCGAGCCGTCAGGAAAATCCGTTTAAAAAGACGCACCGTCGGAATTTCATCAGGTTTGCCGGATAAGGCGAAGCGGTCATTCCTTATCAGGACTCCTTGCGTGTCTTTTTTTGGAAGAAGTGGCGATGCCCTAGTAGCGATGCCCTTTGTTCCCAGTAGCTTCTTGCTACTATGTAGTAGCCGCTAGTAGCCAAGATGCCCAACTTGTTTGAAGGGATGACGACATGCCTCAAGCCTTCGTGGAACAGATCTGACGAAACATGTTCGGTTGCACCCAACAAGCGTTACCGAAACATGTTCGGTCCTGAATATGCTTGTTCCTTAATTATTGTGCTTTTCAACGTGTGTGATGTGTCTTTTAATGTGTTTTTTTTCCTTTTTTTTTTCGATCTGTTGGAAACGCTTAAATATCAGTGGAGCTTGTACAAACAGTACAAACACTATTTAATATGTTTGTCCAGTGATTGAGACTTTATTCACTATAATATGATTTGTTGCAGATGCTGAGGAGTTGCAGATTCTCTCCTTGAGTGGCCCCATTTGCTCTATCCTGGCAGAGCCTGAGTGGCGTGGCAGAGATCTCAAGGAGCAGATCGCCCAACAGGCGAAGATCACCCAAAGTTTCTCGGTGTATTCAGACGTCAGACCGTTGCAGTTACCCGAGTCGTGATGTTGCACAAAGATAAGGACACAAGATAAAGTTTATTTTTCAGGAATTACAAACCCATACAAATTTTATTGGTGGTTGTGTAAAATAAGATTATGCAAGGATTCTCGATTGCAGGGACTCATATGGCCACAAGGGATGGCATCAGTCTTCCATGTTGAAAGTAAGCACATCCTTTGGGCGACCACAGCAATGACACTCAAAGAAGCTTGCTGTTGATTTTCACCTGGTACTTCTTTCAGTTTGGTGAGATTTCTCAGAATCGCATACTGTGCTTGTTCATGGGGTGTTTCTTCACTTCGAGGAAACACCTTTAAACACCTAACATTTTCCTGACAAAATCCCTTGAAAGCATGTCACGGGAAAATGGCAGGACATCATATGAAATTGATGGGAATGGGAATACTTTTGTGTTTGGCCACCTAGGCATTGTTATGTTAGAACGCCCCCTAGGAAAAGAAAGAGGGCTCTTGGCAGGTCCTTTTTGCCAATAATGGGATCGGTGCACCCGCAAAATTGGGAAACACGTTTGGTTTTGGTGGAAGTTTGTTAGGAATTGCTGGGAGTGTGTTAGGATCGGTTCGGATTTGGTGGAACAGAAACTGGAATACCACATGTGCCAGGTTTTTCTGGTGGAATGATGCCCCAAAGTTCCAAATAGTTCATCTTTGTCTTGCAGGGAAGAACTTGATTTGTCTGGGAACATTTAATGTTTTGATGTGTTTCTTTTAGTTATCTTGGGAGTATGTTGATTTCTTGAAGGATTTTGTGTGTAAGTCATTTTTGTGAAGTGGTGCTCGATCAAGAGGGTGTGGTAGTGGCACTTTGAAGCTTGGTTGAGTGTGTTGCTTGGCAGATGTCCCAATGTACCTTGCAAAAGCTATGGGGTAGGCTTCCTCCAGCTACACGGACCTAACTAACTACAGGCAGAACATGGTAGAACACGGGAAAGCACCTTATCGCTGAGATATTTGGTGCCCAACATGCATGTTTTCTTCATGCATCCTTTTTTGACTGCCCTGTGCATAGTTCATCATGAGTTCATAAGCATGTTTGATACTTGTAGTTCATCGTTTTGACCACGTGCGCAAGAATGATGTAACCACAGACCTCCCATGACCTCCCAGTGCGACCCCCTGGAAGAAGGAAAATAGAGTATAGAGTCTACCCTCGGGCCAGGGATCTTCCTAGAATACATTACAATTATACATTTTAACTTTAAATACACACCGCATTCATTTGGGCATGGTGTTGCAATATTCATCACCGAGCCCCTTTTCCCCCCTGTCTCAACGGTCGGACAGGGGCTTCCCCCTCGCTCCTTGAGTCGAATAGACCACCACTTGCTGTATTTGGATAAACCTCAAATTTACGATCGGATCAAAAAGGTGAGGAAAGGGTATGGTCCTTAGTAAGCATCATGATCCAGTGGTAATGGGATCTGATCGGATATGATACCCAAATTCGGATGTTGCCTAGTGCCGTCACCAGCCCGAATCACCCAGGCAAGCAGAAGTTACTGGTGGGCACGACCTTGATCCGTCGCTCGACGGTGTTCGACGCGGAGTTGGCAGCGATTTCAAGGTACTGAAGCCATGGCGGCGAATCAATGACCCGGAATCAAAAGGTACCCAATCCATCCCAATCCAAGTATATGTCAGCCGGATTAAGCCGGCCATGTGTAGAGATTGTCAAATCCCAAAGCAGTTTCTCCGGGACACATTGCTGGCGGCGAATCCCATTTCGGGGCCTATGATTCGAGTGCCGCTTCCATTTTGCTATTTCGCGTGCCGGCGCGGTAGACCTGCCAACATCGTCTCTCCGAAGGGGTCAGGCGTGCCACCTGTTTACCACAACAATCCCAAAACCAAACCTGCAGAAAGATGATGACAGACTGGTAACTGGTGCCTGGGCTCTCAACCGCAAGCGTAGACCCATATACTATGACATCCGCAGAATCCAAATCATAGACCCATTTTGCAATGGGACATCCAAGGACAAACCTCTTGGTCTGCTTGGGGGTGCTGCCCATCTATTCTGAACCTGCTGTGAGTCTTTGTGTCATGTCTTTGATCAAGAGTTTCTTTGAACCTACTCTTTCTATCTCTTTCTCCGGTTCCCTGGCATCACCATGCCGTCCCTGGTGTTAATTTTTCGGCGCCTCGTCACGTCGGCCTCGGTGGCACCATTCGTTCCGCCGTCGGCGTCGGCTCCAGGCAATGCGGACCAGCTGGGTGAGGTGCTGAACGGTGCGGATGAGATCCTCCTGGTGCGACAGGCGGCGGGAGAGGTGCGTGTTTCGGTGCTGCCGAAACCTCGGTTCCCCAAAAGGAGCAGTTATTACAGAAGATGGGATCACACCTCCAGGATCCCTTCCAGGACCTGCCAGGAGCCCTTTGAAAGATCTCAGAACTGCCTTCAGGTTGTTCATGACACCTTTCGTTCCTTTATCATTTGTGTGTTTTATAATTTATTGTTGTTGCTTTGGGCTGTTTACGTAGTCTACAAGAACATCAAGAAACTGCGCACAGAGGGGTACCTTTTGGTTCTTTGCATCGCTTTTGGTTTTGTTGTGGTGTGTGTTTGTTAATTAATGTTTGCTTTTATTGACATTGAAGCTGAATGACAGTGAATCAATGGGAATGTTTGCATTGTTGACACAACACTTCGTTTGTCGCCTTGAGTTTGGTCAGGTAGAACATGGTAGAACACGAGTAGTACTTCATTCATAAGTTCTTTTTGGAGGCTCACTGTGTGTTTGGGAGATGTAGATGTAAGTCATTTGTCACCAATGGTTGGGAATGTGTGACGTGGTCGCCAAACCGGCAAGCCCCTGAGTCAAACAATTGAAATAAACAACAAAGTTCAGAAAACGAAGGGCTGCACATTTCACGAGTTTCCAGGCATTTGTATTCCCCAAATGTTCATGTTTCCAATCTGGAATATGTAAGACACTATCATGCTTTATCCCGTGACAACCAATGGGTAATCGATGGTCCTTTTGGGATTCACTTTCAGTCTCTGCCAGAGGCAGTTGATTTCGACTATTGGCTGGATGAGATCAGCACCTCGCCAGAAAACTATGCTGCGGTGCCACAGCTGGTGGAAGTAGAGGACGAGGGAGTTGGAGTAGATCCAAGCGTTGAATCTATGGGCCCTGGAGCACCAGCACGATGAAAGGCGGACAGATCGGTAGCTGCCTGTGATGTGTCCTTATATACAAATGGTTACCAAAAGGAACGTGATGAATTTTCACATTTGCAAGTGCAGAATCATGGAAGACCAACGCCCGACACCCTATCTGTTGCTTGTCAGCAAAAATGGCTTCCAATACAATATAATTTGTTCAAGGGTGGCATCACTGCCGCAGTGCCTAGAAAATCCAACCGATCATCCGTCCGTTCCGAATTCCTCACCAATCTTCCGCAGCAGACAGTGCTG